AAAACAAAATCCAAATTTTGAATTAACAGATGAGAAAGAAATAGAAAAATTGTTGAAAATCTGAAAAAATAACGCTGCACTGGCGAAGACAAGATAACAGCAAGAATCACTAAAAAAATATAAAATATAATAGCTCCATCTACTTGCTGTTTAATGAATAGATACATAGAATGTGGTGTATTTCCATCGTGTCTTAAAATGGCTACAATAAAACCAATTTCAAAACAGGAAACAAAACAGATCAAATAACTACAGACCTATAACAATAACAAACACATTCTCCAAGATATATGAAAAAGTAATAAAAAAAAGATTACTTGATTTTCTCATTCAAAAAATTGACAAAAATCAATATGGTTTCCTCCCTTCATCAAAACACAAGGTGCCCTAATAGATTTGACTAATACCATCAGTCAGCACCTTGAGGAAAATATGCACACAGTTGCAATGTTTAGATTACAAAAAGCTTTTGATACAGTAGATCATGGCATATACTCAATAAACTAATAGATTGGGTGTAGAGGGTTTGTCTTACAGCATTATCAAAGATTTCCTCATGAAAAGAGTGGTAAGGACGAAGGTGGGAAATTTCACAAGTGGAGGATGAACATAACCTGTGGAGTTCCACAAGGTTGTATTAGGACCTTTATTGTATCTATTATACACCAATAACCTTAAGACGCAAAATTTAAAGGGAAGATACATATTATATGCAGACGATACAGCGATAGTATATGCGGATAAGGATAAAAAAAGATTCGAAGATATTATAAACACGGACATGAAAATATACACCGAGTGGCTAACTGAAATAAACTAACAATTAACATAGATAAAACAAAATACATATATTTCAAACATAGAAAAAATACTGAGAACACTAAACTAAAAATTGAAGTAAATATAGAGCAATAGAAAAACAAATAGAGGAAGTGGGAAAGCATAAAATACTTAGGACTGATAATAAATGAAAAACTGACATGGACAGACATATAAAACAAAATAAAAAGAAAGATAGGAACATTAACAGGGGCATTGAAAAGGATCCACTCTTTCGGCAAAAAAATAAAATATAATTCTTAAAACGCAAATAATACCTATAATTATATGGAATCATAACAAAATGAGCCAAACAACTAAAGCAAACCTAAATGACATACAGAGAATAATGAAAAGCCATAAAAATAGAATATAATTACCACATCTAACACCCACCAAATACTTGCAGAGAGAAAAAAATAATCATTCACTAAAAACATAATTAAAATAGAGAAATGCAAAATAATACACAAAATGAAATTAACCGAATTAAAACAAGTGCAACCATAGACACAAACAAGAATACATGAACACTACACGAGAACAAACAACAATTTTCACATTGAACGCAATAGAAAAACGAATTTGAGAGGAAATGTCATATGGAGTGCTACCAAAAATATATAAACGAATTGCCAGACTATATTAAGATGACCAATGATAATGATAATTTTAAAAGAAAAATAAAGAAAATTACAAAAAATAAAAAACTACTATATGGAAATTGAAGAAAAAGAAGACTGAAGAGTTATATATAGATATTATATTAATGAAATAGATATTATAGTCAAATGAAATGTAAATATTATATGAAAACTGTTTTTCATAATCTCTCATACCAGGCACCTCTGTCTGACTGAGATATGAAAATAATGTATATATGTAAATAAATAAATAATATAAATCGAGAAAAAAAAAAAAACACAAACTTGGTATAATCGATATTGGTTCTTGATTAAAGTAATTAAAGTACTATTTGTAACATTTGGAGGTCATTTTTGGCAGTTGAAAGTATCAAAAATTTAAACAAAATATATCGACTCTACACCATAGATATAAAAAGTAAAAATATATGTCACAGCTTTACAGTATGGATAAGATGTACGGCTTCATATAAATATCATGAATTTCAAATAAGGGAATGGACTCTACTGACGAGCAAACTATTCTCCAAAAGATTTATCATGAAATCCAAGGTTTGATCCAAGGTCATTTCATTCATGAAATCCAAGGTTTGAGTGAAGTAAAATAGACTCTACTGACGAGCACATTTGTTTTCCAGTAGGAACTCCTTGTAAATTTCATCAAAAGTGATTTGAACGAGGCAAAAGGACTCTACTGACAAACAAACTAGTTTTCCAGTAAAAACTTCTTGTAAATTTTAACAAAAGTCATGTAAACTAGGCAAAAGGACTCTACTAACGAGCATTGAACTGTAACCTTTGTATGAATAACATGATTTTGAATAAGTGCCAATGACCTCTTTACCACGTCTCAATTGATTAGAATCAGTTTCATCTTTCTAGTAAATGTACGAGTAAATATCGATCCTGTTCTACATCCCTAAATTGTCATAAATGTTTGGTTCTCGGAATAATTCCCAATGCCCGGCTGATGATTGCGTGCGTGCTGCACTGACTCATCAAAAGCGCTTAGTTTCACATGTTCGAATGGGAATCGATAAACAAGAGACCTCAGCCAGACGGATGAATAGATATATCTCAGTATTAGAATTGCTTTCGGATGCTGTGTGTAACTAAGAAACATGTGATAATTATAACAGACCAGCATTGTGAACGGTCGATACAATGTGAATAATTAATAGGAAGACTGGGTAATACTAGAGCAAATAGTTGTTAGGTAAACGATTATTGATATGAAAGTACTAGGAATAGTAGTAATTAATTAATTAGTGGTATATTTCCCTAAAACTTAGTTCCCTTGCCCATTCTTGTTTATTGTTATTAACAATAGATAAGTATATATAAAATAATGGGTAGTACTGCCCTATGACAGGCCCGTGAGCTGAGTTAAACTCCAACTCTATTCAATGAAGACTAGTATAAGAGATATCTCACTGCCATTTCACACGACAGTGCCCAAACAGCAAAACATATCTTTGCTCATATACAAAAAAACTATTTTTCATCTATATTTTCAAGTGAAAATGGACATCTCTGCTGCACGATATCAGGTTGTCCAGAGCGATTTGAACTACTCATCCACACTCATTTTTATTATTTTTATGTGCCTTTGCTTTTTTTTAAACTTGCAAAATTAAAAGAGTATCAGTATGAATTATCAACACAATTTCAAAATTCGTCCCAAAATTTGTGTCAACTTATGAGAGTCTCACCTATTAATTCTAACCATGCAATCAATGTAATCTTATTTAATAGCTATTAAATTATAACAAGCGTTATCAAACCAGACTGTCTCATTATTAGTTTCACATGTTTGAGAATCGATAGACAAGAGGCCTCAGGCAGACGCATGCTTGAGTGAAGAGAATTACTATACTAACAGAATATCTTGTATAGTTTGGGTAAAATCAAGAAATATAATCCAATTTATTTTTATATGACAAAACCAATATATAAAAAATACCAGGAATTCTGAATAAAACAGGCGGTATTCGCTGAGCTCACTGACTCTAAATAACTAACTCTGATAAGGTCAAAGTCTAAGGTAAGTAATTCTTAAATTACTTAATTTGATCATATTTTACCTATTTTTAGAATGCTATTTTTTATTGTGAAACATTTATTTTAGTAAAAATTATATTCATAAAAATTTTATGAAAAACTTATAGTTTTATTCGTGTTAATTTTATTAAAAAAATATATTTAAATTATAAAAATTGTATCGCCCTAGCCCTTCAAATAATAAAAAAGAAAAAAATCTTATTCCAACCATCTATATTCGCCCAAATCTAGGCCACTAATTAGCACCATAAAATTTTTCAGTGCTATCAATAAAGCTCTATTTCTGAAACTGATAAATATAATCCGAATCTGAGACAAAAAATAGGAAACTAGTAGGCAATTAAAGGAAACACTATACTTCTTATATCATTAAGCATTTCAACGAATTTCGTCAAAGTAGGCAATCGAGCCGAGTGGTCGTAAATGAAAATTTTATAGCAGCAACTAACGATAGAATGGACAGCCAAAAGTGATATTTTTGGACAAATTCGTTGCACAACATATTTCAGCTTAATCCATTATAGAATTTAATTATTTACTCATGTCATACCGTCGGTATAAATATTATTTTTGAGAGTTACGTATTGTATGTATTACCTCATGCATAAATTAATAAAATTATATAACGAAAAACCATGAAAAACGGTTAGTGCTAATAAAAAAATCATATATTGAGCACAGAAAAATGGTAATTGCGAACACTAAATATTTTTGTTAGATCTACCTTGTTATTGTCAAAATATAATCATATACTTTTTACTATATTCTTTTGTTTCATGAAGCGTTCATAACTACTATTGTAAAGTCTTCTTGTGAATGTCATTCATAGACCTTATATTACAAGTAGTATAAGGTCTATGATACTATTTCAAGTTATTGATACTGAAAATATTTGAAATGAATTCTTTACTAGAATCTCTTGTAAACATCAAAATCATCTTATAAATGCTTCAAGAAGAATTAGAAGAAGATTGAAATATATTTGTATTTTTAAAGTTGATTAAACTTTATTTGCTCACTAAATTGGCTATGCAGAAGCTTTCTTTCTATGTATTAATACGTTCTCAAAAAATCATGTATATTGTAAAAATTGCTTCCACCAACTTACACCTATAATTTTCTGCCGATCTCAACAGGATTTCACAACACAAAGTTTATATATCTTCATCGCGTTGTTGAAGAACGAAATGATTAATCTTTACTTTTTAACTTAATTGTCTGCTCAAAATCCATCTTTCTGTAATCGCATATATAGTAAAATTGCTTCCAACAACTTACACCTATATTCCATAATTTTCTGCATATCTCAACAGAAATTCAGACTGAATTTATGCATTCAATATAGCGCAATGTTAAACTATCTATATCGCGTTGTTAAAGAACCAAATACGGCGTAGCACATAAATATAAGACTTGACATATGGGCAGCTACACTTGATGTATTAAGACTTGAAATAATATATGAATTTCACTTACTTGTTGTATATCCGAATTCGTCTTCCTTTTCTTGGTCGGCTTCAATTTCCTCTTTTGTTCGCTTCACGTTGGCCGCGCTCGCCCGATCGATCTGAAAGTAGAAAATGAAACATATCATATGCAACGATACTAATGACTTTGGTTCTAATACTAGCAATAAAAATAATCAAGTTAAAGAATTCTGAAAACAATCGAACGATTTGTCGGCGACTTCTTAAAAATCGAAACCAATTTCTAAAAAGATAAAATGTTTTTATCGCTTTTCCTTCCTGGTAACTTGCAATATTATGTCAGATCATTTACTGTGTCCTTATTTTATGTAGAGTATTTCTATTATATTTGACTAACCTCATTTCCAGCAGCACTGCATGTTCGGCCGCTTAACATAGTCTCATCAATATCATCGCCCTCTTCGTCCGTCAGCGTATCCTCGGAGTCCTGGCGAGAGGATCTCTCCGAAGATGTTCGCGAAACACCAGACACCTCCAGAAATTTTTTTTCGGCTGAGAAAATAAGGGTAAGTGTTCAGCTGTTATTAATGATTATGTGGAAACATAGACCTAGTTCGTAATATTAGGTGTCATTTCGTAAAATAAAGTGTCTGTGTATGAGATTGCAATGTGATGTAAATTTTAAATTGAAAGTGTATTTTTTTACATTTTAAAAAAATTAGAAAAATATGAATTTTTCTCCTAAATAAATATGCACGTGATGTTGGGAGAGTGAGGTTAATTTTAAATATCACCACGTATCACGAAGAGGGAGGGGAGCGAAAAATCTATAAAAAAATCGGTCACGTGATTAATGGACGCCCCATAATAGTAATTTGTATCAATGATTTATCATTATGCTTTCTGTGTCCTTATTAATTATTCTCCCACATCTAGCACGTAAGATTGTATATTATCATTTAAATCATTTTTAAGGTCAATTCTTTGGTAAAATAGACGTTAACATAGCGTTGTTATAGCAACGTGTGCTATACTTGTTTGTTGGTACTAAACACTGTAAAAACGCTATCTATTTGCTATGTAATCAGGCAAATATTAAATACGAAACAACATAGAAAATCCACAAACTTAAAAAAAAGAATGTCGCCATAACTGCATCTTCGTAAAGCGCATTTATATCATACTGTTTATGTGCAATCGGACAAATAAATACCATCTTAACAGTTTTCAGTACCAAGAAATAAGTACAAAATAGCGTTACCATAACAACGCGATTTAATCATCTATTGGCCCTCATACGAGAAAGCATGCAACAAATTAAATGACTCACCAGACTTAATACTTTCATTATCTCTTTCAATCTTATCTTCAACTAAAGTTGAAGAATCTTCTTCAAGAGATGGTTCTCTTATCACAGGTATTGAAATTGAAGGCGATCTCGATACTTTTCCGGCTTCTTGGGTTCGTTAAAATCAGTCTGTGAAAATAATAATTTTATTTATGGTTAAAGCTCAATTTATTCAATTTTTTTATACTGATATCTATGAAATCAAAATAAATAAATGCATTACCAAATATTAAATATTGTATGGTGTTATGTTTATCAATGAAAGTCATTTATATTCGTTTGAATAAGTTATTTTCTATGGTAGTGTGCAGACTTTGCATACGTCAAATATAATCAAGCATATGCGATTATAATAAAATATCCAGCCGAAGAATATCAAAATTGCATAAATGTTAAAATATGCATGAGGCCATAAATAAAGAAGTACGGCCTGCAATACAATATATCTTCATTTCTAGATAAATGATGATATATTTGATACTGTAAGTATTCTAGGCACGTCTGGAACTTTTCACGGGACTTAAGTAACCTAAATGGTTTTCAGTTTCTCTTCTATCAGAACGAACATAGGGGGCTTTAGCACCTATTACATATATATTGTATATACGTTACTTCGAAATAGCTTAAGATCGTAGTTATTCTGTACACGGTATTACTTTCACGAAATAAGGGGTTTAAGTTATACCGGTGATGGGTGGAAAATAGGTGAAGTAAATGTGGAATTAGAGTTGCATGTTTATCCATCTCATAGTTGGTGTCTATTACGCTAAACACCAAATTTACTGAAATTAATTTATGAATATTAAGTATTGAGATAAATTATCGAATTATCGAAATAATACAGAACTAATAGTTTATTTTTTATATAAATTAATTACTTACAGGTGTTGCAGACCCAGTTCTAAACGGCGATTGAGGAATTAATTTTGCTCCCTCAGGTTGCAGCAAATCAGTACTCGGCGATGGTGTCTAAAATTATTTGAAAAATTATTAGATATTACATATATTATAAATGTTTGAAAATTGCATTTGCTTACCATATTAAGAAGCGACTGCACAACAAATTTAACAGGACTTTCAGCGCCTCTTATAACTTCCACTGCTTTTTCATGACTAGCATTTCGTAAATCTACTCCATCGACTTCCAAAATACGGTCTCCTGTCTAAAAATAAAAAATTAATTGACAGATTTATAAAAATGTGAAAAGTATATAAATGTGATAAATATATAAAAATTGTTAAAGTTAAAAAATTGTTAAAATAAAGTTGTTAAGTATTGGTAATAAAAAATAATAGATTTCCGCTTACCTGAAATCCGCCCGTTTTCTCCGCAGGGCTTTTCGGTGATACGTTTTTGACGAAGATTCCAACAATGTCCCGTTTTCCTTCCTCATCTGTCAAATCAGCCTGGAATGACGAAAAACCTTAATATTATGCTGCAATATTTCATGTGTGAATTTTTTGTGTTATTATAAACAAACCTTTCCGCCTACTATGCTAATTCCCAGACCTTCCTGACCGAATTCACGGGGTACGCAGACGATACGCTCGGGACCCCATTGGCCCTGCATAGAAGCGGATCTGCTGAGAGCGTTTTTGGGACGGTTTCCATTGGAATTTTTTATCTCAGCACTTTCTTGTGTGTCGGCAGTTACTGTCATATCTATCGTTGGACCGTAACTGAAAAAAAAAATAGAACTAAGTATTATATAATTCACATCTCATTATTTATAGTTAATCATATTATTATTGTTGTTTTCAGCAAACAGAACTTATGGTCCTCTTAGCTCTTGTGCTGACTTTTTAAACAAAGTGATTTTTTATAGATGACAACCCAATCTCTATGTCAAGAAATTATTTATATAATTTCTGTAAAAATGATGATTTTTTATTAATGCAGCAATGCCTAGTAAGAGCTTAATTTAATTTTACTTGGAATTTTAAATCTGTAAATATTTGCAAGTGAAAACCTCAAGCTACTACTGCTTGACATGAGGCTGTCTAAAGCAGGAATCAAACATGAAACTTCTATTATTCAAATTCCATAACTACAAATCTGTGGAAAAACCCTTTACTACGTATGGTACTACATCTCTACATTTCTTAGATTCTTTAGCTAACAAAAATCATATATTTAATATAATGATCGAAATTTATAGTAGTTTCTTTCTCATATGCTAGTTATCATTAGATCTCATATACTTATTATTATTAAACTTATGCTTTGGTGATAAAATGCGAATATTTGTAATCCAATATCCCAAATATGAGAATTTACAACTGACTAACTAAAAAAAACTAACTGACAAAAAATGACCATAGTCATAGATAAAAAAGTAGAAATAAGTATGTCGAAATTGTAGATCAATTTTAAAATTCTCATGTTTGTGTATATGTGTTTTATGTAATAAATACGAAATATTTTCTTGTAACATACATTATAAAAATACGGTTTACTAAAAATTAAAATTTATGTAGACAGAACAAAAAAAATCACTGAAAAGGTTAGACGCATTTTTTTAAATGTAGGTAGTATTATAATTTGACCAAACTCGTGCTGGAAACAATAAAATTTAAAATAATATTCTATCTTCCCACCATTCAACATGAAATACCAAGCTGCACAGACACTATAATGTTTTCATATATTGCATTGTATCGCTAAGCCCGAACTAAATAGGTTCTGTAATGTGAAAACTAGGTTTAGGAATATCGTACATTTTATGGGTAATACTAAAATGTTACTACTTTAGCTGCAACGGCAAATAAAGATATTTCGTTCTGCTACTTGAATCTATATTTTGCCATTTTCATTACGTTCCATGTATAAGATAGTAGAAAGCAGAAAAACACGTTCTTGTTAATTATGTTTTTCATCGTACCTTGCGCAGCTTGGTAATTAGAAACTTCATGAAATATAAAAATTCTTAATTGAATAATGTAGTACTACAAAAATATGAATAGGTAAATCGTATTTGTTACTGCTTTTTACAGAATATATTTCTGTCAAAATATTCAATTTTACAGAATAAATAATACTGGTTGATCGGTCAGTTCTAAATATTTTAACATGAAATTTGTATTTTAATTCTTCATTTTTTTATCTTTTTTTTCCTATAACAAGAACTCGTAGCAATTTTTATAAAGTCACAATGCTATATTGCATTATTTTTTAATTTATTTTTTATTCTTTTTACTATGTGAATATTGAAATATGTGGGCTAATTAATAAATTAATTTTAAATCTTCTGCTCGCAATCAAAGACTTTATTTTCCTGCATAATAGTACTTCACAAATGAAAATTTTATTACGTTTGGTCGACTGAGTTTTCATTAGATCAAAATACAGCTTTTGTATACATGTTAAATTAATGTTAAGAGAAAAAATAATTTTCAACTATAAAATAATATATGTATATATGATTTTATTCAACTAGATAACTGAAAAGCAATAAATTAAGGCAATGGCATCACATCAATTTGCTTTAATTTGTTTTTAAACATATTAAATAATAAAAGTTTACGAAAAAAAAATTCACAATTAGTTAAAACTATAGTTGAATTGTATGGATTTTAATATACTTATTAATAGTTGAGTGGGGCTTGAAAAGGTAAGAAAGTCCAAAAGTGCTGATGATTTTTCGGTAAATACCAGATCAAAGTTATATACACTATTATCTTTAGTAGCTATAATTTAGTAAAAAAAATTCAAAATTAAAAATAAAACATCGAACCTGTTGATCCCCTGACAGTCCCATTTTACTTCGCTTATGGGGTAAAAAAGATCAGATAACAATTTTTTGAAAAACAACAAAATTAACACATTTCTACAATGACTAATTAGTTAACAGTTTTACAGAATACAGTCAGATAGATGTTAGTTTAATATATTCTATTTATTGTGTTATAATTGATTGGTTTTCACAGTAAAATTGCTCAAAGTCAAATTGGACCTTTGTGCCCCACCCTGCCCTACATGGGTGCACACACATATATATGTATCTATATGTGTGTGTGAGTATGTGCATATACGTAAAAAGTTCTATGGTAAAAGCAATTGAAAATTTCTACCGCACATCATCAAAAGCTCTGGAAAACAACAAACTATGGACATGATGCCACTGCCGGCAAATGTGCGAATATTGTATGATATGCTATTTTGATCGACGCCGCATCTGACCTACATATCGGATGTTGATAAATGATTTATGATTTCGTCAGACTACTTCAAAGTGATATAAATAGACACACTGACATGGAGAGAAGGTACTATTGCGTTCGAATTGGATTACAGTCTAATCTTCCTCCCCTAACACATCCGAGCTTTTCTTTCACAAGAGCGGATGCGTCGTATTCGACATGTCACAAGGAAATTATAGGACAGGGGATTTCCTAAAGAATTCCCTCTGTCACCGGTACAAGGATATGTGAATTCATTAAAGGATTGAAAAAGTTACTAGAATCTGAGGAAATAAATTTGAAAAAAAGACGTTTTAGAATAGAGGTTTGTAATCTTTTACAATTTGTTCAAGATAAAAATAATTTTATTATAAATAAATAATTATAATGAACTTGAACACTTAAGTGCAAAAATGTTTAAAATCACTGTAAAAAGCATGCCTACTAGCCCAGTAGTCAAGCATATATCAACTATCACCTCCAATTTTAACAAAAAATAGCGAAATGTAACATGAAGCATTTTTTTGTTTCAGAAAATTTTATATAAAATTATCATTATTATTTTTTATTTAAAATAGCTGTAACATATTTCTTGGCTCAAATAAATAAGAATATTTTTTATATTTTTTTCTCAGAGACAAATGCCTTCAACTTCAAATGGTCTAATCTAAATATATGAATTATTATACAATTTTAGTAGATAATTTATTTATCATTTGTATAGTTAGTTATTACATATTGTGCGCACATATACGGTTCTCTCAGGTAGATTCTAGTTCGCATAAATTCATATTCTATTGTGTAGAAATTGCGGTTGCATATGCGACTTATGACAGTTGAATGCCAATTGTAATTCAAACAACCGCTGAATTCACATCAAAATCTGTACAGGTAATTTGCCTTTGTAGAATGATTATAATCTTTTGGGTAGTCTGACAATTTACTAAGAAAATCTCTATAATAAGATAATAAAATTACCAACTTGATGTACGAAGTATATTATATATTTTACTAATGATTATTTAAGTATCAAAGAATACATTACAAAAAATGAATTAAAATACGACAATTCAAAAAGTTTGGGTTGAAATTAAGTAAAATAAATAACGTTTTTGTAAGATGTTAGAAAATCCATATTAAATTAAACTTTTTTTGTATAACGTTATACACAAAAGAGTAATATAAATAAAATATATCATTTTGAATTATTAAACCAACGTTATTCATTCTTTTACAAACATTTTAAACCACTATTAAATTTAAAACGTTCTCAAACCGATTATTTTCTATAATGGCGAAAAGTTTAAAATAGAAATTAAAAAAAATGAAACTTCAATAAGTTTACTATAAAATTGTTTATCTAACTATATATAAGATGGAAACTTTAAACAAACTATTGTTGAGATAAAAATTATGTTTAATAAAGTGTTTTTCATTCCTTAAGCTATTCATTATTAAAATTAAAAATCACAAAATTTCAATAAGTCTACTATGAAATCAGTTATCTAACTATATATAAAACGTGAACTATGTGCAAACTATTGCTGCGATAAAAATTATGTAGAATAAAGTGATTAGTGACTAGATTTATACAAAATCTAGTTATTAATAAATAAGTTTAAAATGATGAATAAAATAAGTTTTAAGTGATTTGAATACTTATTGTATTCTATGTTTTCGATAATAACCAAAACTATTTACAAGAAAAATGTTTATTTTAATATTTATTATTTTAGTAAATAATTTTGAAAAACTGTATCAAATAATGTGCAATTTTTCTATTTTGTAAATAGCAGAATTTATTTATATATTTATTCCAAAAATTTTAATATATTTTCTCCAAATATTAATGGTATTTGTAAAAACTATTTCCTTCGGCTTGATTATAAATCAGTCATTACATGAACAAAAATGGAAAAAAATAAGAATATTATTTTTTTTATTACAAATTTCTTTTTTTTTCAATTATCAGAATGAAACAGAACCGTCGAAATAATACATCTGAATAGTTCAGATGCAGCCCGAATAAAATAAAATATGACAAGTATATTTATAGTGAAATTGCAATATGATGCATCCTTTCCTCTCGGATGCCGCTCCGAAAACAAAATATGTTTATGCAATTTGCGATTGGAAAGGGGTAATAGAGATAATAGTAATATAGGATTCAAAAACCTTTAAATTTGGTCAAAACAATTACGCAATACAAGTAACAACATCGCTCTTCAATAAATGTTACCTATTTTTTGGATCTTATCTGATTGTATGTACCTCTTTGTTGATATGTACTTTCTTATAAAGAAGTTATTTACATTTGTGGTAATATGTTAAGAAAATTTAGGAAACAACATTTTTTACTTTTTCTGAAAAACTTAACTATGCAAGCAATCTAATATTGGTTTTAGCAAAAGAAATAAA